CAGGACAGATCCTCCAAAATCCACCACACTCGGCTTCTTTTCATACACTGCTGATTTATACTGAAGTCCACTTTTACCACTTCATCAATCAAACAGTAAATGTAGATCTACTGAACTGTCCTCTGTTCAGCCCACTTCAACACAAAGAGGGTTAGAGGTCGAGGCAGTTGGCAGTGGATCTGAGAGGACCACTAGAAAAATCCATCAGATCAATATCTCACTGAAAATGTTTTCCTCCCTTAACAACAACAACTCTCCAAGAGATGTTTGAGTTTAACAAAATTGATTATTGCATTAGTGTTGCAGTGAGAAGTCCAAGCACCCTAACCCTGAGACACAGTGTTATACATATAAGCTCCTTCAACTTGCGTCTCATTTCCATAGGATTGTCCATCTTCCTTATTGGCACTTATATAACCTTGTTCTCACCAGTGTAATAACCCGAGATCTGCGAACGTGATAATATTGTCAAACTGAAGTAGCACATACCTCGAACGAGACCCAACAGATCCCTCAAAAATACATCATTTTTGTTTCAGCATAGTTCTAAAGCTATTGAAGATACATATAAACCAATTTTCGTCTGATTCTGCATTATCTCACCAACATGTCGGTGGTGGTTCCAGGTTAGTGGCTGGAAAAAACATTCCTCTCTAAGAAACAACATCTAAATCCACTAGATATGGATTTTAAGTCGGATCCACACCAGATTGCACAAACTCATGTATGTCAGTCCCCAAAATATACCGCCATCAAGAACCTGGGATATTGTCGAAAAACACGCTCTCACAATGTTGGATCAACGCCTTTGTCAAGGTCTGTGCCAAAACGTAATGGGTTCTTTCTTGGCTCATGTCCCATCCTTGCATACAAGCAGTCCCATGATCATAAAAGTTTCAGAGAGGGTTCCAGTTCAACCAAACTTATTTGGAAGAGAAAATAAAGGTAAGTTTAATTATTACCCAAAGTCCTGCTTAAAAAAACATGCCAGGTAACAAGACCTTTGTCTTTGTTTCAACTTCAGCTAAACTTTACTATCCAATCAGGGATTGTTACCATGGGTACGATCATTCCGTTGGTCGTAACCTCCATGTAAAGTGCTTCAGATAAAAAAACATCCTTAAAGATGATGATTAACTGACCGATCAATGTGACCACTTTTCAAATCTCTTGATAAAGCAACATGAGAACTTCAGACAGACTCTACCAGATTATACAAATACATTCTTCTCTGTCTCGTCTCTCCCTCCGTCCACTTTGTCTTCACTGAAATCCACAGGCTCAGACCAGGTGCAGCTGCAGAGCTGCGGTGGATCAGAGACTTGATGATGGATGACAGGAGGGCGTGTGTGTGTGTGTGTGTGTGTGTGTGTGTGTATGTGTGTTTGTTCAAGAGGATTCTCCATGAGTTATACTGAGTGACACACTGCCTGTTGCAAGGAAGCAGGGGATGATGATGGACAGGGGAAAGAGGTTAACAGCTTGCATGCTCTGTGACACACACACACACACACACACAGCTGTATAACCCCCACCGTTCCATTGTAACTGAGAGGGTTAACACACTATTACCATATTACTTTACTACAGAGGCCTGAAACACATTTGGCTCCAAACACCAAATGCGCCAAATGGACGCTGTCTCCAGCAGGCGATGAAACACACGCCAAAAAAACAACAAAGGGTGTATTTGTCTGTGTAAAGCTAACACTCCACACCCCTGTCCACCCTACCAACCCACCCACTGAGGTGCTGGCTCCCCCTCTGCTTCATCTGCATGCAGACACACACAAACATAAACACGCACATGGACTAAAACACAGATTGAAATCCTGTGGTATAGCAGGAGCGCCCCACTGGAAATGGGCAGTTATTTCACAGCTGAGTGAGCACACGACTGTGTGACCTGATCAGAGGGAAGGGTGTGTTTGTGTGCTGTCGGAGGTTTTGAGAGAATGGTTCCCTATAACCCTTCCCAAGCTTAAGAGAGCTAAATAGATTCCTCAGCAAGAAGACAGACGGCTGCATTATTCCTCAACTATTTAGTGATAAAATGATGGTTGTTACTGCGATTACTGGCAATAAATTCATCATACATTCTCCGTGGTGAATATATGTAATTTCAGTGTCCTTTGAGGAGGAAAATCCTCTTAGATCGTATTTTATTGAAAGACTTTCACTGTTTCTCCACATCTGTTAGCCCCCTTCCTACTCACACATCCATCACAAAGGCAGCACAGACACACCATCACCCCTCCTACAGTGGTGTGTCTACCTACATGCTCGCAGAGACATGGGGGTTGAGATATTGGTTTTTGGATGGAGATCCATCTGTGGGCTCGTCTCCATGTGGGGCTGTCAGAATGATGGTGGGCACAGCAGCTCCTTTTCTTTTTGCTTTGTGTGTGTGTGCATATGTCCGACAGTGTATGGATGGATGGAAGCCACCCTGGCATCCTCAGCACCAGTTCAAGTCTTTGTATGTCCCACATGCTGATCTTAGTATGCTTCTGTCACCCTGCTCTCCTGGCTCCTCTTCAGATGGAAAAAATCCCTGAATCTGGATATGGATGTTCAATGGTCCAGGAGCATCAATTTATGTGGCTACTTATCTCAGATATCACAACACAGCTGGATGTCCTGGGTGATTCAAGCAAACATCTGATGAATTTCATCTACTGTGAAATGGCAAACATTCAGGGAAACATAATTATAGAGCGCAACTCGCTGTGCGGCCGACGTATGAAGATGAGACAAAAATGTCAATTATATCATTTAAAATGATATACATCAGCCCTTGTAAATGATAGAATCACAGGCCTGTAGTTAACAACCCACTGAACAATCAAAGAGCATCCTCCTGACAAATGGAAATCAGAGGGAAAATGAACTCAGTCAACTCAGCAATTGTCCTGTACAACAGTGAAACAGGGATCCAAGATGTTCAACTGCCACTGGGTTTTTTGAGGATGATCGGGTGACTATAATTCACAGACTTAGGGATCTGTGGTCCTAGTCATCTCCCCTGCAAAATCAGCCCTTAGCGTGTGTGTGTATGTGTGTGT